AGAGTGCGAATCTGCACGATCGAGCAGTTCTAGAAATGTGGTCAGAGAAGTTTAGTTGGTCATCAATCGTTACTCCAAGGCTTTTCACCGTTTTGGATCCAGTAAGGGTTGCCCCATCCATCGGGATTAAAAAGTTATGGTGTGGATTCGGGTTGGCAGAAACTACAAGCATTTCTGTTTTTGCGAGGTTCAGCTGAAGATGATGATCTTTCATCCAGTGTGAAATGTCCGACAGGCAGGCTGAGATGCGAGCTGGAATCGAGGGATCATCAGGATGAAAAGAGAGGTATAGCTGGGTATCATCAGCATAGCAGTGGTTGGAAAATCCATGTTTCTGGATGACTGGTCCTAGAGATGTCGTGTAGATGGAGAAGAGAAGTGGCCCAAGAACAGAGCCTTGAGGTACCCCAGTGTTTAGATGCTGTAGGTTGGACACCTCTCCTCTCCAAGACACCCTGAATGACCTGTCAGAGAGGTAAGATCGGATACCAGTGGTATAGCAGTTTTTTGCTACAAATGTTTGTTGACATCAGATTTGGCAGATTATTTTGTGTTAATGTCCAGCTGGCTGCATAATAACCAAAATAAATAGCTTAAAATATATGGGCTAAAATTATAATACTATATACAGTAATGTAAGCCCCCAGTAAAAATTTTCTGCTGATTTAAAAAATCAAACGGCTTAGTAGCAAACTGACGGTATAGAGATATGAACATTAGCTAATAAGCATAAGCTAGATTACCTGAAATTTGGTTCCACAGATCAACACCAGCAATGATAAATGAAAATATTGATAAAAAAGTGATTAGGGGTAATTTTCAGTTCTTTCTATTACTTACACAAGTAGCCGACTGTGAAGCAAAATCGCGCAAACTTTTTATGAACGACAGTGAAAAAATTGAAAATACAGGCTAGAGTTCACTTACCAAACAAGATTCTTGTTAAAAACTAAATAAACTCGAACTTAATGGCTATTCTATGATAAATTCACGTAGAGAATTTCTCTCCCTACGTGTCTTTCACGAGAAAATGCTCTTCAAGCCTAAGGAATTGATTTCTTGCGCGGAATTTCGCGCCAAAAGTTACGTCATATCACCTCATATTTATTTACATTTATCTGTTGTGTAATGAAATTTTGGTGGTAATACAGCAATTACTATATAAACAAATTTAATACTGTATTCCTGTAAGGTTTTTTTTTTTTTTTTTTTTACAATTGTTCGGCATTTTTAAAGGCTACTACAATGCACTGCTGTTTACTGTAGTCAAAACTAAAATACTAGTATTTTTTTGTTAATCAGTTCATATTGGTTAATAGGTTACCACAATATGCTATGCAAAGTTTTGAAAAAATATATAACACTGTATATAGTTACACTTTATATAGACTACTTTTGAATTACTGGCTGAGGCTTGATCTCTTTCATTTTTTTTTAAATAGAGCAATCAACACACTGTATGACCTTCATTTACCTTTAAAAAACCTTAAAAAATATTTTAGGATATTGTTATTGGAGAACTTCCTGACCCCAGAGCTATACATGCCATATATACAGATTATTGAAAGTTTAAAGCAATGCGTTTGAAAGTTTTGTACTATTTGTCTTAAGTAAAATCACTGCCCAATTGAGACAATGCCCTTTTGCTTTAATGCTCTCATTGACTTTTTTAAATTCAGAAACTGTTTGTTTAAAGCTCATTATCTAAACAAAAAAGTAACTCAAATATTATTACTTTATTTTTAAAAGTGATGCTTTACTGGTTACTTAGAAAGGTAATATTATTTCCCAACTCGAGTTACTTAATGCATGATACCGCAACACTGGGTAACCAGTATGTTAAATATGGTTTTGGTGTCATTTCATGCCACCTTCCATCAATTGTAAGTGCCTTGTAAACAATTAAAAGTGATTTAAAGTCTAAAGATTTTTTTTTTAAAGTTCAGAGGCTAACTGCCACAAATAAAACTGAAAAACAATAAGAGTATATAGGGTATTCACTTTTATTGAATTTACAAGCTTAAACTTGTTCAATCAGTGCAGGTAGTCTATGTAAGTAGACTACAGCCTTTCTCTCCATAAAGTGTACAATATGATTACAATAGCTCTACATGCTAAAAATGAGTGTAATGTTTCAGTGTCATTACTGAACTCAAAATGCCCTTCCTTACTTGCCCTCACATTTATACTTCTAAAAGCGGGATCTACTTCATCAAGATCAGCCTGACTCAACTAAACACTGAGACTGACAAGAAAATGACCATGAAAATATGACTCCCTTCATTATCCAAGATGGAAAATACTTAAGCGGACTTCCAAAAAGAGAAATCATGGAAATACACTTTTCGTGTCACATAAGTTCTGACTATGAATGCCTCGTCTCTGGCTCCATATTCTCTGCTGGAACACTTTACTGGGCTCTTTCTCTGCTGAGACACATAGAGGGCAAATCTGTTGTGAATTAAAGCGTCATATTTAATACATCTGTGATTCCATCGGACACCAGCTCTCAGTTGGTTTTTCAAGTCCAACTTGAGAAAACGTTTAAAGTGTGGAACATTATTCTGTGTGTTTGAACTCCACATTTTGTTTTGAGAGTGATATTGTATACCCTTGTTACCACAGACCTTGGCTGGGAAGTCTGAAACACTGAGCAGAAGGACTACAAGAACATGGTACTAAAAGAATGCAGTACAAATTGCAGTCTTGTCACGCCATCTTGAGGAGGTATTGTGGTATTGCAGGGTATACGATCAACTGAAAGCTGCTAATGGCTCAGATTTATTGAGGAATATTATAGACAAAATCAATCAACTGTTATATTTTATTAATAACTGTGCAACAGCATCACTAATATTTAAAATATAGACTTTGCATAAGTGTATCTCTAATATTTCTCTGGCTGGATGCTTAAAAGGAATGTTCATCTAAAAATGAAAAACCTTTATATTTACTGAGCCTCAAGGTTTCAAAGATGCAGGTGACTTTTTTCTTTAATAAAATGTTACAAATAAAACTGTGGTCCTTGGCAATGTTGGGTTTAATTAGTTACAAAGTAACTAGTTACTGTAATTAAACTACTTTTCTGCTGAAAAAGTAAAGTAAGATTTATTTCCAGTTTGTGGTAATTTAATTAGTTACTTATAATTAGGGCCAGACAGAATCTGCTGACATTTTTTGCTATTTCTGCTGAGAATTTAGTTTAAAAAATCTGCGTATTTATGCAGAATTATTTTAGGAGTATTATAACTAAAAACTATTCAGTTACTAATAAAAATCATACATTTTTAACTTTTATTTAATGTCTATAATGCAAATCCAATTAGACTAGTAAACCAATTATTTGGTAAACAAAACAAGTCTCTTATATAATATATCTACTAAAAGACAGAACATATTACTTTACAAACTGTACTGTAAATAAATCATATGAACATTTCAATATTACTATGATTATATCACAATAATATTAGTAAAATTAATTTAAAAACTGAATAAATATAAAATTACACACATACATAGACATAACGATGGGCTAAAAATCTGCAGATTTCTGCGCACAGATTCTGTGTGGGCCTACTTATAATATATTTGGCGTATGTAAATTCAACAGTTCTGTATAAATCGCTTCAGAGAAGCAATCATATACTTTTAGCAAAATATTAAAATTTTTAAGCAAAGACGTTTACATTTATCCTGTTGCACATGCTTAAGAAACAACAAATTGTGTAAAAAAATAATGACAATATATGCTATGTGTAAAAAATGGTGTAATAACAATTAAACTTTCACGTTTTGATACACATACTTTTAACAATTCTTAAGTGCTAATTGTGTTTTACGCTAAAAGGCCCTGTTTGACTCCAATTTAAATAATTTAAACAGATTTTCTATGCATTGAAACTTATAGGAATTTTAAGCAGTATTGAGTCAAGTAATGCATTTTTTATTTATTCTTTATGTTACTTCCATACAAAATAATTAGAAAAGTAATTTACATAGAATTTTAACATTCATTCAATCATTTTCCTTCCTGCTAACCACTAAGCAATCGTATCACCCTACAAATTAGTTACTGTAATTAAACTACTTTTCCATTTTGAGGTAATTTAATTAGTTATTTATAATATACTTGCCTTACATACTGTAAATAAATTCAACAGTTCTGTATAAATCACTTCAAAGAAGCAATCAAATTACTTTAGTAGAATATCTCTATTTTTAAGCAAAGACGTTTACATTTATCACGTTGCACATGCTTAAGACACAACAAATTGAGTAAAAAATTATTGACATTATATGCTATGTATAAAAATGTTGTAATTACGTTAAGCTTTCATGTTTTATACATAATTTTTTTTTACATATCTTAATTGATAAATGTGGATAAGTGTTCATTTTTTTATGCTAAAAGGCCCTTTTTGACTCCAATTTCAAGAATTAAAAGAGTTCTATTGCATATGCATGGAAACTTAGAGAAGTTTTAAGCAGTATTGCTCCAAGTAATTAAATTCCTTATTTATTCTTTATGTTACTTACTGACAAACTAATTAGAAAAGTAATTTAAATACATTAAAAATGTAATCTGTAATTAAAAAAAAACTTTTTGAAGTAACTTGCCCAACACTGGTTCGTGGTGATTTAAGAGTTACGTAATCTTTGAGAGATGGAGAAACATTTTAAGGTACAACAAAACTAATAGCCGTGGCTCCTGATGATATTGATCTATATATGTTTATGTGTAGCCTCTTTGTTTTTTGACCCCTAAAATGCCACACTGTAAAACTTATATGACCAATTAGTCATGACGACATATGTTTTTAGTTCATTGTAACTTATCAAACTGAGTTAATTATGTTCTGACTTTAATTTGATAAGTTACGCAAGCTGTTTTAAGTCAGTTAAACAATGTTCAAAGGACTCATAAGGTTAATTTAATTCCGCTTAAAAATAAGCCAACCAGTATTTTTTACAGTGCAGGAGCTGTAGAATATTATGCATCACCAAGGGTTATTCCCACTAAATATATTTGTTTTAATGTATTAATGAATAAAAAAAATCACCTGCATTTAAATTGCCTGAGCATGAGTAAACTAACGTTTAATTTTTATGAAAACTATCCTTTTAAATAACACACTGTTGCTTTCTTTTCAGAAAACATTGTCTTAAAAAGAAAGAACATGTCTTAAACACAACAAATGCAGCAACAAACACAAATATTTAAAAATATGACTCGCTAAAGTGTTCTCTAACACAATTTAACCAAGACCGCATCTGTGCATAGTGGAGAGGGTTTGGTTAAAGCTTAATAAAGCGCTGTGGTAAAAGCTACTCTACTTCCATTTAGTATATATACAGTAGTTTAAATATACTTCTTGAATTCATCATAAAGCACGAGAACAAAAGCGCCCCCCATTCCTCTGAGTACATTAGACAGAGCCCCTTTGAAGAACGCTTTGCTGCCCTCATCACGAGCGATCTTTCTCCAGCAGTCAAGGGTTCCAGTGTACATAATATCCGCTGGGAAAACAAAAGACAAGGGCTTGAGCTGAAATAAATGCACACTTGGTGGAGAACAGCGAGTTATTCAAATGAGTGCATATGTTTGAGCTTGTGTGTACTGCATACCTCCTTTGCGCCCAGACTGCATCATCATGCGACGACGCACAGTGTCGAATGGGTAGGAGACCACGCCAGCCACTGCTGTCACAGTTTGTGCAATCATCCAGCTGACCATAATGTGGGTGTTCTTTGGATCGGGAAGCATGCCTGCACATCAGCGTAATCAAGAAACCATGCATAAATTCGACATGATTAAGAAGAACTGGCAGTGTAAATAACAATAAAAATAGCCACAATACAGGCTGAATGGGCTCTATGCACTATTAGTGTTTTTCAGCCAAAGATAAACTTCCGGTGAAATGTTAATGTGACTATTTTCAATTTTATAAGGTTGTTTTTACAGCATTGATGTTGTAATGTAATTACAATACATTCAGTTAAACAGACTTAAGCATTCATTTAGTTGTTCAAGCATAAAACTAGATGAAGGGCCGTGTATCAGATAGCACCAACAGGAGCAGCAGTCGAGCGCAGAAACTCCATTAAAAATACTAGGGTAAAATAAACTGTCATATTTTAAAGACATGGTGAGGGAAAATGTAATTTATTGAAGTGCTTCTTGTCCAGTCTGAGACCCACTATATATATATATATATATATATATATATATATATATATATATATATATATATATATATATATATATATATATATATATATATATATATATATTTTATATATATCAGGCAGCGAAGATTGCTGATTTTAAAGAAATCAGACCCTAAACATGGCAACTTTATAATGGAAAGACAACTCAACCAGAAGCACTGAGGCTGGCTGGCTAAAATTAAAAGTCTTTGTGCATATGCACCATTTAAGGAGAAAGAAGTAACACATGCTCTGAAATTATGTGTTAGTCCAGCCGGGCCACAAAGATTGTGTGTGATTGAGTGATGAGATACATAAATACATTTTTTTATTACTATATTTGTCTAGCATGCTGATCTATTATATATGTATAATATATATATATATATAAATCAGGATTCGACAAGCCAAATTTTGGGTTTGTTTTTAATGTTCTTATTATGCCTTGTTATAACTTCTATTCATTTTTAGTCCATTATTCTATGTTCAAACAATTAAAATACAATTCTAGATTATGTTTACTTCTACAAACCATAAATATATGTTACATTGGCAAAATGATAATGTTTTATTACAGCTTTCAGGAAATATCTGTAAATTTAATGGAAACTGAATTGGTCATTTTCTACCATTATCCATTTAACTTTTTTACATTGTAAAAATACAGATATTTAACAGAAATGTTTTTACAGTAAGTGATGCACAACTCATTATCATCATCTGAATCACACAAATGCTTTAGCATATATTAAAAATATTAATTTGAAAACGACAACAGTTACACAATCATATAGTAGAATATGGGCTGCATGATGTTGAAAAAACTAACACTGCAATATTTTCATTTAGTGCAATATATATTGCGATATAAAAGCAATTTCAGCAGACGACTTGAAGAGCTAGAAAAAAATCATAATTTTAAATCGATTGGGATGATTCTGTATAGGGAACGTATCTGAATAAAATATCATTTAAAAAATGGTAAATAAAGTTAAATACAACAGTGAAAGGATTCAAATAAACAATGATTTATGATTTTACGGCCAGTCAAATAGTATTCAGAAACAGAAATTACATAATTAGCTTATAATTATAACAATAACACTATTGTTTTAATTGAGTAAGTAGTAATTTATATAATGTAAAATTCAGCTTTAAGCAAAAAACATTTTAATTATTGTGCCCAAATGGCTTAGAAATTCTTACAATCAAGTGTTAAAAACACATGTAAATAATAAACTTTGACTCTAAGGTTAAAATATAAAATTACTCCACTATGTTGTTGACTGTAATGTCTGGTCAACTATAATCCTAACTACATTGCAGACTCACACATGGCGATATCGATGCTAAAAATATATATTTTACTGCCAGCCTATAACATATCTCAATTAATTTTTATTTATTTATTGTAATTTATTATTTATTTATTAATTTATTAAATTAATGTCCAAATGATAAAATTACAATTCTGCATTCTGTTTACCACTACACTCAAAATATGAACTACACTCGCATAAAAATGTGTTAATTCAAGAAATGTTTTATACAGGTTGCATTGCACTTTTTTTTCAACTCAAATGAAGTCTGTACATTTTTCTTTTTTTAAAACATTGTATTGAACCTCAGGCTACTTTTATATCTATTTAAATATTTTAACTTTTAACTTATTTTGAGAGCTGGAAACTCATCCTCATCATCTTAATCACAAACCTATTACCTTTAGCAGTGTCATAGACTCCAAAGTAGGCCGCCCTGTAAATGATGATGCCCTGGACGGAGACGTTGAACCCCTGGTACAGCCCTCGTAAGCCATCTGACTTAAAGATTTTGGCCAGGCAGTCAGCCAGCCCGCTGAACTCTCTGGTGCTGCCAGCTTTCCCGACATCTGCAGCCAGCCGAGTACGGGCAAAATCCAGCGGGTAGACGAAGCAAAGAGAAGTGGCTCCTGCAGCTCCACCTGAAGCCAAGTTGCCAGCAAAGTATCTCCAGAACTGTGTGTGTTTATCAACACCACCCAAGAAGATCTGTTTGTATTTGTCCTTAAAGGCAAAGTTTAGAGCTTGTGTGGGGAAATAGCGAATGACATTGGCAAGGTTGCCACGCCAAAAAGAAGCAAAGCCTTGCTCCTTAGGAATCCTCACAATACAGTCGACAATACCTTTGTACTGTTTGTCTGCGCTGATCTGCTTGCTGGCATGTTGTACCTGAAAAGTGAGAAGCAACATTTTGAGAGTTAAATGTTGTCTGGGTTTTGTGGTTTGTTGGTCCTGCAGCACATCCATCTGATGGTTTAATATTGGATTGGTGTTTTACCGGGACGGACTGGAATTAAAACCCTCTAAATATGCTAAATAAGGTCTAGTAATGAGTTTGCATGACTTCAGTTCTTTTGGCTATGCATGAGAATAAACAATATGCATTAAAGTGCCTTCTGAGGTCTAAAGATGCTTTTGACAGAAGATTTTTATAAGTATTTATTTGAAAATACACTGAAAGCCTGGCCCTAATAAATGCATGGGGGTATGCTATTGTTTTCTAATGTTTCATGATAGAACAAACTAAAATGAATCCAAAATGCTGATGTATAGTATACTGTTTGCTTAGTGTTTGCTTTCTACATGAAACATGATTGTTGTATTTTGATAGTTGAGACTGGTATGTAATGATAAACAATTTATATTTCAATTTATTTTTTTAATTTAGGCTTATATATGTGGGGGTTTATGATGGGGAAAAAGAACTCTGCCCCCCACTGACTCTTTTGCCCCCTCATACACCCCCCACACTCTCCTCATAACTTATACTTCCCATAAACACTGCACTTTGTAATATTTCCACATTTAAAGTTGTACATATTCATTGCTCTTTGATGCACTAATTCATCTTGAATTGTACATACCTATTGTACATATACATAAATTTATGTTCATACAGTCTTTGGTTTATCTATCTGCATATATCAAATTATTATTAGCAACCTGTACATATATTCATCTATTGTAAATCAATGTTCATAGTAAATACAACCTGTATAATGTTCACAGTACATCCATCTGTAAATATTACCCACAGTTTTTCTATAATTCCACTTTATAACTTACAGTATATCTACATTATATCATATACTTGGTGCTATTGTACTCCTGGTTAGACCTAAACTGCATTTTGTTGCCTTGCACTTGTACATGTTAAATGACAACAAAGTTAAACCTAATCTAATCTATGTAGAATTTAGTTTTGACCATTTTCTTTAAGACAAAAAAATGCTGAAAATGTAAAGAATGAACCCCAAACATGTGCATATTTGTGTATCATTAAAATTTAAAAGCATATAGTTATAACTGCTTTCAATAATAAGCGTTTCTTAAATAACAAAACAGAACAATTTCTTAAGAATGTTTAGAATCAAATATATTGTAATGGCTACTGAAAATTCAGCTTTGCATAACAGCGAATAATGGTTATTTGTATAATTATTTTTACAGTTAATTATTCACTTAAGTCAATATTTGGTACATAGGCCTACATCATGAAGAAGAAAACATTTAAACAACAGTATATCTATTTTCAGTTTTGACAATATTTCAGATTTTACAGATAATTTGTTAAAGATTAAGGCTATGGTGGTCCAGGAATACAGTGTACTTGGCAAAATCAGCCCTAATACAGTAGCCCACCTAAGTCTGGGCCTGAAACATGACACAATCCTGCAGATGTGTCAACCAGCCAGCTGCTAGAAATTCACACATTGGTCTTAAAATACACTGGACCATTAAAGTCTACAAATTAACATCCAAATGAGTGAATTTAAAACCAGAATGTCAATTTAAGCGTTGAGAAGCTCGAAAGATGCGGCTGCAAACAAACAACTCAAACATGGCCTCTGAAGGACAAAGTCGACGCAGCATCGTTAAAGCTGAAACATAAATTAGACTACTTTTAAAATTCGACAGAATACGTGTTATGAATCATCATGGATCATGTCAGAGTGTATTAAGTGAAGTCAAGATAATAAATCTCACCTGCAGGAGCAGTTTGACTCTCTCAATCGGCGCGACAGCAGTTTTAGAAATAGCAGCTGCGACCCCACCGGCCAAAAAGTCCTTCGCAAAAGAAAAGGCAGCATCAGCCATGGCAGAAATAAGTAGTGTTGGGTTTAGTCTATAAGTAAACTAATATATTGTACGTGCTGGGAGAAGCAAGAGGTAGAGCAGAAAGTGATGGGGATGCTGCGGAGTCCACACACTGCGACAAACTCTCAAGGCATCTCGCGATATTTAATGATTCAGAACCAGAAGGTTGCGTGACTGTGTACATTACAACAATCGTGGCATGTGTAGCTATTAACCAATGTAAATCTTTACGAATTCTTTATCTTTTTAATTTGTTAGCATTAGTAAAAATAAAACAACAAAACATGATAATTGCTCATTTTAGGTAATACTTTCATTACTAATAAACAGTTAGTTAATGTACGGTGTACATGAACAATTTGATTTGACCAGTGATTACAGATTAAATGGAAAGCTCACCTAATGAATAAAATTCTCTCTCTTAACTCACCCTCAAGTGGTTCCAAACTTGTATGAGTTTCCTTTTTTCTGTTAAACACTAGAGAAGACATTTTGAAAAATGTTAGAAATCTGTAACTATTAACAAAAACAAACAGGCCTACTATGGATGTCAATAGTTACAGGTTTCCAACATTTGACAAAGTATCTTCTTTAGTGTTCAACAGAAAAAAAAAAACATTTTGGGGTGAGCTTTTTTAATGCTGTAAAATATATTGCTCCTTGCTAACTATGAAGCAAATTAAAACTTTTCAAGTGTTACACGTGTCTCATGTTATTCTTATTATATAAAAAGTATATAATATTGTAATATATGTTATAATATTTATAAAATATGTTTCTATAAAAGAATTGTAAACTTTTGTGTTTGTAAAATATGCTGAATAAGACAAGCTATTTGATTCAAAACCATATTTAATGCATTCTATAACAGTTGAACACATTAATTAGCAATGATCATCTACAAATATTCAAATTATTTAAAAAACACACACAGCTAATACATTTATTGCACTCAATGGAAGTCAGCTGTAGTGTTTCCAATGCAGATGCTGTAGAAATGACTTTACTCAAGTTCTGCGGTTTCAATGGAAGCTGAAGAACAGCCTAATAATGTTCTTTTGTCATTCTGTTCTTCTTTCACAAATAGCATGGCATCCAGCAGGTTGTCCGTGTGTTTGACATGTTTAAGAGTGAAGCCGTGCTTGTCCAGTAAGGCACTATATTCTGCTGTGCTCCTCTGCTTTCCTTCTGTCATACTGAGGGCCTGAAGCAGGGCTCGACTCGGCCTTCTCCGCTCCTCGTCCAGGAGGATCTCAGAAACCAGGAGCCCACAACCTGTTTGTTAGCAATGCATTCATTAGGCAACTAATTAAGGAGTAACTTTAACTTCATAGTAACAAACACATCTTAAACCTAATGTACATACTGGGATCATTTAAGTTTGAAATAAAATAAAACTTTTCATAAAGTGTGTGTGTATATATGTACACCCCCTGAATTATTAGCCCCCTGTTTATTTTTTCCCTAATTTGTGTTTAACGGAGAACAGATTTTTTCAACACATTTCTAAACATAATAGTTTTAATAACTCGTTTCTAATAACTGATTTATTTTATCTTTGCCATGATGACAGTAAATAAAATTTTTTACAATATTTTACTGGATAACACCCATACACCCTCACATTCACATACATACACAACAAAAAATTTGGCTTTTTCAAGTCACCTATAGTGCATGTGTTTGGACTGTGGGGGATAAAGAGCACCCAGAGTAAACCCACTTCTATGAAGCGACAGTGCTAACCACTGAGCCCCCGTGCCACACACTGAGATTTATACATTACTTAAAAACGGAATGAATAAGGTTTTCATTAATGTATATATGTATTTAGAATAGGACAACATTTGACCAGGAAACAACCGTTTGAAAATCTGTATTCTGAGGTTAAAAAAAATCTAAATGGCAAGAAAATTGGATAGTTGTTCAAATTAAGATCTTAGCAATGCACACAGCTAATCAAAAATTACGTTTTTATACATTAACAACAGGAAATATCTTCATACAAAATTATCCTTACTTAATATTGCAATGATTTTTTTATACAAAAAATGTATATATATCTAAAAAATTTTGACAATGTATTTTTGACTATTGCCGAAAGTATATCCATGCAACTACAGGTTGGTTTTATATTTAATGCAAGGCCACATATAATCATATTTAATTTTGACATGGTTTAAGCGATAGAACAAACTCAACAGACAGGGGCATCTGACAAATCAGAGCATGGGCCTCCAAAACAAAAATGTGAAGCAGGGGTCACCAACATGGTGCCAGCGGGCACCAGGTAGCCCGCCAGGTTCACGAGTTGCCTGCGGGCCTGTTCTAAAAATAGCTCACCATAGCACCACATACGAGTAAGCTGCATCTAATATTTTTATAGGTATTTTTTTTAAATCACACTTGCATTGGTGTAAATTTGAAAATTACTTGAAGTTATATACTGAAAAAAACTTTAAAAACAATTTCAGACAAATGAAGTGTTGCATATTGATATTTATCTAACTTGTTAAATCATTGTTGACAACTACTGTGAGAAATCATTAACATGATCAATGTCTTCACATAGATGAATATTATTAATTATTAATAATAACATATAATTAAAAGTAAATTAAGAAAAATGTGTTATTTAATAACTGGTAGCCCTTCACACTAATCGGTACCCAAGAAGTAGCTCTTAGTTTCCAAAAGGTTGGAGACCCCTGCTTTAAAGTAGCAGTTAAGAGTAATTGAGGCAGTTTAATTCAGCAGCATTCACATTTTAGAAAACAAACAGGTGTAGAGATCCTTGGGTGGCCAAAAGGGGGCATTAGAGAGTCACTTGTGCAGAAAAAATTATAGAGTGGACTTGACATCAAAATGTTTGATACTTCAGAAACGTTTTAGGCATTAAGAATTCAACAATAGGATATTTTAAAGCACATACCTGGTGTCCACATTTTAGACAGTTTACTCAATAACACATGCAGTTTCTCATCAGACCAGTCATGGAGGACCCGTGCAAGAATATACAGGTCTGCTTTAGGTAGGTCATCTTTAAAGAAATCTCCTATTTTTTAAACAAAAAGAGATGTTAAGTGAGAAACTATATGTACTTTTTTATGTGATACTGATAGATCAAATAGTTTATCATAAAAATGTTCCTATCAAGTGTTTCACTGACCTGCAACAAATGACACTCTTTCATCATTTTCTTTCGGCTGGAAATGACGTCTCATCTCGATGACTTGTGGCAAGTCAAATATAGTAACTGACAACTCAGGGTGTGCTTTTGTAAACTCGTATGCCATGGCACCAGTGCAACCTGGGCAAGATCACAATGTTATCTTAACATCCCTCATGCATTTAATATACTTTTTTATATATAATTATATTTATAGTTTTTGAAAGATGTCTCTTATGCTGCATTTACATTAAATTAAATCAGTAATATTGTTGCAAAGTAATATTACAATTTAAAGAACTGTCCTAGTTTAATATAATTTAAAATGTGATTTAATTTTGTGTTGTAAAATCTGAGTTTTCAGGATCCAGTCTTTTTTTGTTCTCAAGAAACATTTATTATTAATATTAATGTTGAAAGCTGCTTATTTGTTTCCAGGAAACCATGAACCATGAGCTTTTTTTAGTATATTTTGATAAATAAAATCCAAAGAACATCAATTATTTTGAAATATATATATTTTTTAGCATTTTAAATCTCTTTTCACTGCCACTTTTGTTCGTTTTTCCATCTTTGTTGAATTACAATAATACGTTTTTGAAACTGCATTAACATAATCAATTCTGTTTAGTACTATAAGTTCAAATTCAGCAACATATTTAACACTAATATATATTTTTAATTAATTGTTATATTTCTTAATATTACTTGATTTAAGTTTTTTAAAAAATAGGTCAAAGTGGGTGAAGAGAATACACAGGCCACAATAAATACAGATGGCCCTTGCATAAAACCCCCTAAGAGAATTAATCATTAAAGCTGTATAAAATTTGCATAAGAAGCTCACAACTCCTTTTTAGATAAGTAGCTTCTGAAAACAAGCTCTTCCAGAATAATAATTTCAAATTATGCGTGACAACATACAGGATGGTGGTTCCTGCACATCTTATCGTGGTCAGATTGCTCACGTCTCAATGTAAATTTTGCATCAATGCGGTTTGATCTGTTTTGTGTAATCATTTTTTTTTTTTGTTATGAAACACATTTATCTTTATTTAAACTGATTTGATAAAGAAATAATTGGGAACTATATTCCATGAATCAAATATGATATGATTTTTTGGTCAGTACAAATCATGATAAACAAATATTTGCTGGTATTTAATTTATAGATTTCATTATTTTTTGTACATTTTGGGAAGTATTTAATGATTTTACCCACATTTGTTTTTTAATCAACCAATAAATCTACAATTTATACCTTATACCAAAGATTAACAGGGTTCATACACATTTTTACTACTAAAAATCCATGGCTTTTCCAAAACTTTCGGGTAAATATTCATGACTTGTTTCATGTAATGTCAATGTACATGTGGTAAATAAGAAAAAATGCATGATCAAATGTATTACAGCATATAAAAAAGTGACAATCTATGTTTATTTTAATTATGTTTATGTTAATCATGTTTATTGTATACCTGTAAAATAGTTTTTAGAAATTATCTAAAAGACAAGACTTATTGAATTAGCACAAATTAGCCTTTAGCACCCACATTATCTTACCTCTGTAGTAAAAGATTGCTTCTGGACATGACACTCAAAATGTATCTTGAATTACAATGAAGCAAGTGAAAGAGAGATGAAGCTAAAACTGCAACTTGCCTATTTGCCTCACACAGAGAATGCCACACGAAGGGATAGACGTCGCAATTGTTTTTGAAATTTACCCAATATTATCATCTCAAATATATTCAAGTACACAGATATTTGTTAAACAAATCTCCATGACTTTTCCCAAAACATTTTGGGTTTATTTATTTCTCTAAAACATTTCCAGGCCTGGAAAATGCCTTGCCAAAATTCCATGACTTTTCCAGGTTTTCCAGGACCGTATGAACCCTGAATTAACCAAATTAAAGTTAACTCTATTTGAGGGAAAATAAATACCTCCGATATCACAAGCTGTTTTGTAGCATGAGAGATCGAATGCGGTTGCCAGATCTTTTCCAGTCACTCTTGCGATGCTGTGCATTGCATCCATGAACCGTATCTTAACTTCATCTTTACTGTAATAAACATCCTAGAAATCAACAAAACAGTATTACTCAGTAATAAAATGTCAGTAACTTCAAGAATTCATGGGTGATCAAATCGTGTTTACCTGAAACACGTCTTCTTTCTTCTTTCCAAAGGCCCGCTCATGTTGGCTGGTGCCCTCCCTTACAGCGCTCTCTAGATGACTGAACAGAGGCCACACCATATCATTGCAGTGGAGAATATATCCATGCAGAGACACTGGGCTGTCCGTTACCAAGAAACGACTGGCCTGTTCTGTATTTCTGTACACTGCAATAGACAATAAACAATGTTGCATTCACAATCCACCTCCGGACATGATAATGGGAACATGCATCATACAGTAGGAGGAAACGCATCCATGCGTTCAAAGTCCTTCATTCAGTAAACAAAGAGTGTGCTTGTATGTTACAGAGTAATGGACAATGCGATCTGAGAGGTTTCAGAACTCATATTTAGGAAAACCCCATGTGTTTTCTGTGACAGCAAAAAAGACTTTAGCTGCGTCCCAAATGGCACACTATACACTATGCACTCATGCACTATGTACTTATGCACTTACACACTCAACAGGATAGTACATGTATGTAGTGGCGTCCCAAATGGCACACTAATGTTTTTTTACTAAGCGGAAATTCAAACCGTTTCCCTGATGACGTTTGACGGTTGCCAAATCTGTGAAATAAACGACGAATTATCAAATATTACCTGCCGTGAGTGTTGCCGCATTCACCATCGGGAGGCACTATAATCACTCTCGTAGAATAATTTTGTTCTCACCATCCAAAATAAATAAAGTTATTCAACATGTGCGCCCGATAGCTCCGCCTCTTCCGCTACGTAAGCAATTCTGCGGTCGTTGAGTGCGTGAAGTGTCCATCATTACACACTTCATTTTAGCAGCTGAATGAGTGCATCATCCGGGAAATTAAAGTGCACTTATTATTTTTAGAGTTTTCAGTGTGAACACACTACTTACACTATTTATACTACAAAATGGCGTAGAATAGTGCATAAGTATGCGATTTGGGACGCAGCTAGTGTCAATCTTACCACTGATCTCTTCCTGTCTGACCCTTTCTAGTAGGCCTAAGGAGACAGCGGCTTCCAGAAGCCTTTCAGTGCCTAAAAGAGAAGCGTTGATCTGGCCAGCTACCTCTTCCAATGTTAGACCACCAGGGGTGTTTAATACATCGAACACCTTCAGTTTGGATGCTGTGAATAGAGTCTGACAAACAAAAAGGGTTGCAAAATATAGTTACCAAACATTTTACCAGTTTCTGTGCAGATCAAAACAGACATTAGTTTCCGGTGGTATTTTAATGCTATGAATTAATTGAATTAATGACAGTATAATACTGTATTTTAAATTAATAGTTCACCCAAAGATTAAAAAAAAATACATAATTGTCATTATTTCTTCACTCATGTCTGAACCAGTGTGTTATTAATTTGGTCAAACACAACAGGAGAGTTCTTAGCTAAATTTTACTCTGGCTTAAGAAGACTATAAGAATATTGTGTATGAAATATGTTAAAGGTCTTGTTTACATAATGTATTACAAAGCAATGCCAATTCCAACACAAGTAGACGATGCTAAATTCAGGTGTAATGTCTGAAACATTTTGGTTTGTGCAATTCTGACCACTTCCTCAGGTAGTTTTAGATACCTACTAAAAAACGTCAACCAGTTTCTAAATGAACCAGTCATTTCCTACAATAAAGTTACAAAGAACAATATCATAGTCTACACATGTTCAACACAAACACCTCGGTTATAAAATATCTGAAAATGTAGTTTAATATTAATATAAGATCATTTAACTCGGTCCTGGAGGGGTGGTGTTCTGCAAAGTTTAGTTTCAACCCCAATCAGACATACGAGGGCTAGCTAATCAAGCCCTTAATCTGTGGTCACACTAGAGTTTGAGCATGCGAAATTAGATATTTATAGATATATAGATATAGATAAGATAATTAGACATTGAAAATGTGACCGATTGATCCTTATTTTAAATTTCTGTCCAGAGAGGTCATGTTTTGACCTTCGATTGGTCTCACGCAATAGCATGATGCAATTTCGCAGGTCAGAGTTCACCAAGCTTGAACTTTCCAATGCAGCGAACTGTGAAACTTGTTGCATGAGCTTGCGTTTCCGGTCTGTTGAATTTAAAGTTTATGGGGAGAAAAGTCCAGTGTGACCACGGCTTTACCAGGCTTTCTGAAAAATCTTTGCGGAGGTGTGTTGAGCAAGTAGGAGCTAAAATCTGCCAGACACTGGCTCTTAAGACCAAATTTGGACATCACTGATTTAAAGCTTATAATTTAAAAAAGTTTGGAAGTGTATAAATAATGGCATGATTTCTTTTAAGCACTATAAATAACCGGAGAGCAGCAATGTCTAAATTCTATGACAAATCTATGTTAGTAAAGTTTTTTTTTTTCATGCATGAAAAGAGCAGAGAGTGTGTCCAACAGGTGGTTTGTAAAGCCCACTCACCTGTGTTGCAAACTCAGAATTGTACACCATTTTCAAGGAAGCATGGAGTGTATATAAGAAAGTGTCTGGTGCATACAGAGAGATAAGAGTGCATCTTACAGATGGTTTGTAAAGCACACTCATCTGTGTGGAATACACTCAAAATTACTACCTTTGATACTTTGAACCCATCCAGCAAGCTGATGATGCTGTGGGGGACGTCCTGTCTGTTGCACTTGGCAAACTCTAATCCCATTACATTCTGTTCTTGCACAGATGTCAAACTGTCATCTTTAACATTTTCTAGTAGCTCAACATCCCCATTGGTGGTCTTGTTAACAAGAGTCCAAGCTTCATCGCAGTCCCGTTTGATTTTGTGGGCAGGACTTGCAGGTGGACTATTGAAAATCGATCCCAACTGCTTGCAGAAGTGGTTAAGAGGAAAGCCGACTACATTGAGAAAATCTCCTCGCACATATTCCACCAACATGCCACCCAAAGCTTGAATACCATAACCACCGGCCTTGTCCCTGTCGAACACAAACAGATCTGTCAGTCTTATCATTCACCTGCCATGCAAACCTTGGCAAAATGCCAAAGTGATGGCCTGAATGGACGCATTGCTTCAAATACTCTTTACTTAAAAATGAGCTTTATGCTTGTCATTTTCAACACGTCAAAGCAAACAATGACCAAAGGACAAAGTCCCACAGGTTCAACAAGTTCAATGAACATGCTCAGATAATGTGATGGCCAAACTCCAATGCATTATATGAAAATCCTTATGCATAAACTCACATGGGCTCTCCACTGTTGATATATTCCCAAAGCATCTCCTCAGATAATTCTGCAAACTTCACTTTTGTCTCTTCGTAAAAATCAACCACTTTGTAATCTGTTACTGAACCTGCAAGAAAGATCGAGTCTTTAAAAAAAGGATCAACTTAATTAGATTTTAATTTCACTTAAAACATTAAACATACTATTTTTGTCACGGCAGATCACGATCGCTACACCTGTAAAGACACTATGTTCCTTCCCGCTCAACCTGAAATATATTAATTTCAATAAATATCAATAATTATTTGATATGGTAGAACAAATGCCACAAATAGTCAAGTTAACATTGAAATAAAAATGCACCTGGACAGCATACGGTAAGCATCTTGTTTATCTGTAGGCTTCTCCAAGATCAAGCCATCAACAGTCTGACGATGGAAGTAGAGAAGTTCAACAAAGCAGTTTTCAGGACATAATATAACATGTAAAATCGATTACAACACAAATACTTACCACAACAGTGTCCGCTCCGATAACAATATCTGGAGTTTTCAAGTGTTTCTGAACCCAAGAGTGATACAGAATAAAAGGGAAATTGTTACTTGACAGAGACAGAAACAGAAAGTTATCGAAATTGCTTTTTCGATTATTACACAACTTACAAATGGCATTCGTTGAGCCACCTCCAAAGCCTTCTGTTTAGCTGTCTCCACTGCATATTCACATGGGTGCTTAAACAAGGACTTGTCCAGTGTTTCTTTAAACCAGGAGGGAACAACTTCAAATCGTAAACCCTGCCTCATCGATGCAGAAGAAAAGAGTTAATTTCATATTCATTGCCTTTGTGAAAACATACAAATACAAAACTAAAGCAACACTTACAGCATTTGATAAAATCTCCAGGCGTCGTGGAGATGCGCTTGCCAGAACAACCAGCTTTCCACTTAGCTTGGATATCACTGGATTTAACGGCATGATTCTGTCACTTCCACCTCTTTCCTGGGAATATCAAAATCATCAGTCGTGTAATACATTTAACCACCATAAAATAGAGCAACCTGACAAGAGCATAGAACCAGGTAAAAAGTTTATGACTAGGGTAAAATTGGTTTCATTTTGCACATTCTGATTTTCTACATAACACTTTAACTGACCAACCAAGACAAACACTTTTAGATTGCATTTCTTAACTCCTAATGTTGCTAGTTAACACACTCAATGCATTTTTTTCAACAAATTACAATTTCTAAAATATGAACCATTTGGTAGAGGTTGGTTTGTCGGTAAAAAAATCTGAAAATATTTTAAACATTTTTGTATATTAAAAATTTGTATATTATATCACCTTCTTTGAAGTATGTTACAAAGCTTGCAGATTCTCATTTAACATGCTTTCATTTTTTTTACAAAACATCATCAACCATTTGGTTGAGTAGGCAGTTAAAATAAAATAATTTAGTATAATAAAGTATTTATTTATTTTTTGCAAATTCTAAATAGGAAAATCATATTAGCAGCCAAAGACTATCTAAGTAATAGCATTACTCACATTGAACCAAGTAGGGCTAATGTTGTTTTGAAGTCATATTTGCATGCCTAAACGAATTGTTATGACTGAACGAATAAGAGAATATAAAACCAACTTTACCCCGGTGTAAGTTTATGTTAGATCAGTAAAGTTATCAACAGATTCGCAGATTCGTATTGCTAATTTTACTGAACTGTTTAAGTTCTAACTTGACATCAACCTTGGGTAAAGGTGAGATTGACCACAAGTTTGACCACATCATCATTAGCTTTGTTTTGTTTGTTTGTTTAGTTAAAGTGAAAAGATCAGCCTGTCAGTTTCTGAAGAAAAAGACACGCAGAATGGTGCGTTAGAAATGTATTTAGATCTAGGTACGGAGCAAAACATTCTTGACATGATGAATAAAGAGCTTTGTTTGTTAATTCGGACATTTATACAATCTGAACTATTAATGACACCTATTTGAAACATACATACATTTATTCATCATTATACGTATTAAGAATTTACCTGTAAAAGCTTGTTCCACTTCTCTCTCTGGGCTTTTCGAAACGCTGTCCACTGCCGAGACCCTGAAGAGGCGGAGTCTACCAAGCGCATGCGCGGAAGGTTAGTATTGGAACGTCACAAAACCACGTTTAGGTAGTTTTTTTTTTTTTTTTTTTTTTTTTTAATTTTTTTTTTTTTTTTTTATTATGCTTTAAACAACATATACATGACAATACAGCAAACAAAACAGTGCCAGGGTGATAGAAAGTAAATGATAACATCAATACATAAAATAAAACAAACATAAAAATAAGAGTATAAATACTTAACTAAAAATTCTTACAAATATAATCAAGCAGGACCTTTACATTAATCAAATATTTTGAAACTAGAGCACAGTTGGACAGTTTTAATGGCCTTTCGATTAGCACTATGCTGAATAGTGCAAAAGTAATTTTTCAGTTCCTTATAAAACACAGTAAAACAAGGTTTTTTGTTGGAAAATTTACACTTATGAATATGAAACTTAATTAGCAAAATAAATAGGTTAATAACAAAAGCTTCATTATTCAAATTATCATAATTAAAATACCCAAAAATTACAGTTTCATAATGCAAATTAAAGTTAACGTTTAGGTAGTCAAGAGGGTAAAATCATTTAGAATACATCACAGCAGTATACTATGATGAAAGAGCAGTAGGGAGAAAACGATCCATTTATAGTAAGCTTGGATCACGCGTGTATCATCGTTACAGAAAAAACTGTTTTATTTATTTAAAAAAAGATAGTTATGCTTGTTTGGTACTTCTGGATTTTATTCTGTAGGCGTTTGAATGAACAATATTGTAATATTTTCCATTTAAAATGCTGTAGAACGTTTTTATGCAGTGTCTTGCAACGCTGCATCAATCTGTCATAGTTCTATGTATCTGTGATATGCATTAAAATTAAAACAATTTTTGTTAGGCCAGTTCAAATAACATAAGAAATACAAAATGAAATTATATATATAAATATATATTGAATATGAAAACGTATAAAGCTAAATTCTAATATAGCTATAATCCACAATGTAGCCTACAAAACCTTTGCAAGAATGATAAAAAACTTCAGTGATCTGCTGATACATTTGGACAGTCAGTGATAAATATGATAAACATGATAAATAAAAATCTTCAATTGCGTCCTTACTTATTTATCCTAAATTTCTAATTAATTCTTTTAATTTTTTATGCAATTATTACAATTTTACAAAATTCTAAGGAAACAACATAACATGTTTCCTTGCAAGGTTTAAAACAAATATCAATAATTCTTACAAAATAACAAAATTCTTTAAAAATTCTCCAACAAAATGTATATTTCAAAGAATTTGTTACAAAAGCTTATAAGTTTGCATGATAGATGCATTTGTTTTGAAAAATGCTTTTTCTTTTCTCGACTTCTCTTGAACATAATACCTATCGAGTGCCCTTTGAAGTGGTATTTGCAACCTGCTTTATTTCCTTCTTGTGCATCGCTCAGTACATTTGCTGTAGCATTATATCAATGGCATTTCACTACTGATTTCCTGGAAGCTGTTTTTTTAATCAAATGAGGTCTTGCTGAGGTCTGAGGTTTTGCAAGTAACATTGAGTTTAGACTTTAAAACTTGGATTTGTTTGTGTACTTTTCACAGTACAATCTTTTGCCAAAGTCATCAGTTTCAAAGGAACTGAAAAAATCTTGACCTCGTGGTGACTTGTCTGTGGCTTCCAGAAGTAGAAAAACAATTGAAATCAGACATGCTGTAAGTGATTGTAACATTGGTTTTGCTGAATAACCAATTAATAATCTTTCATTTTAGATGGATTAAATGCAATCAATTTTTTGAACGTCTTTATTATTTTTATATGACAAAATAAATGCCCCTCTATGCATACATACCACTTTATCTATGCTCAGAAATATAAACAACAAAGAAACAGTATGCATTACTGCAATACAACGTTATATTGCAGGGACTTTATGCACAGCTTAAGTAACATAAATATAAAAACAGCTTGGCTCAAGTAATAAAACAAATACATTTTCAATAATCAAAAACAGAATATATACACAATATCAAGCATCAACAGCAGGTACGACAGCTAATTGCATAAGTTTAACCACTCAGCAAAGTGTAAAAATACATGAACATTTCGTTAAGAGGAACTATGATGCCTGATACCAAGAAAATAAAAGTCACGCAACTTGAATGCATGTGAGCAGTGTGCTTTTCATCAGCTGCTCAGCCAGGAAATCAACACAAAACAAAAGATAAACAGTGCTAAAACACAACAACATACGAAATATGGGAAGTGCACATTCATTGAATTAAATGGGTTTTCACAAGTGCATAAAACTACCTCTGTGGTTTGCTTTTAAAGAAAAACTGTTCCCTTTCTTTCGTCCAAAATAAACAACCCAAAACAATCCGAAATAAGAAATAGTTACATATTGTCACAGTCTTCATGTGCATTGCATGTTGTGCGTCCGGAGAAAAAGCTTTCTCTATGACCCTCGATCATTTGGGTTTCTGCTGTGCTGAGAGTCTGTAAACGCAGCATTTGGCGTAGTTTCCGGCGAAACTCTTTAGATGCAAAATAATAAATGAACGGGTCTGCGCAGCTATTGATGCAGCTCAGAGAGAGCGAGAGCTTATAGTAGATGTAGAGCGATTTACCATAGTACAGTCTTGCGACTGTGTGGGCCAGCAGTAAGATGTTATTGGGAGCGAAACAAAACGTGAACACAAACAGTACGATGCATGCCAGACGCACAGCTCGGCCTTTCTGATCACTGTTGGTTTTTCTAACCAGAACCCAGATGATATTGACATAGCAATACACGGTAATGATGAACGGGACGAGGAAGAGGAGGATGAACATGCCAAATAGAAAACCAGCCCAATGAGCAATGCTCGGGAGCATTTTTGACCTGAGCACATCAAAGCATGTGACTATATCCCGCTCTTTAACATAATACGTCAAGTCAGATCTCTCCAGTGGGCTCAGAATCCCAAGCACCATCAGCCACATTAATATACAGGCGATGACTGCAAACCTCTTCCTCTTCCTCATCTCCCTAAAGCGCATGGGTTTCACAATCCCCAGGTAGCGGTCGGCGCTAATAGCGGTCATGGATAAAATGGAGCAGTACATGTTGGTGTAGAAGGTCACAGTCAGGACGTTGCACATGCCCGTTCCTAAGGTCCAGTTGTAGCCTTGCATTTGGTAGACGATCTGAAAGGGGAGAACGATGCCCAGCATCAAGTCAGTGAGGGTCAGGTTGATCATGAAGATGATAGTGGGGGTTTTTGGAGAGGTGCGCATCAGTAGTAGAAACAGAGAGATGCTGTTCCCCGTCAGACTGAACAATGCCACGATCACATAGATGCCTGACACAATGTCACTGGCCAGTTTGTTGTCAAACATGGCAAAGGTTGCGTTGTCCAATTTGATGACCTCCGATTCATTCATGGTTGGTTTTGTGCACCTGTTGGAAAGAGGAAAAGAGATTGCATTTACAATTTAAGCTTTGATTTTACCCCTTTAACCACAAATTGTGAGATGAAGATCTGTATTGTTGGAAGGTGTAGGGCCAGATTTACTAACATTTTGTAGAAGATCCTTTTTTGGCATTAAACAAACAATTTTAGGATAAATCACAGCACACAGTGAAAAAAAGCAAATGAAAAGGTATTTACAAAAAAAAAAAAAAACGTGACACAGGGGAGTGTTTGTAAATACTAAAATGTACAGAAGGAAAAAAAACAAAACAAAGAATGATTGCAAATTGATGCAAAATGTATGGCACAGAGGAGTATTTAAATGAATCTGCAGGTAAAGGTTTGTGGTAGTCATTTTACTGATATCTGTGATCATTATTTAAAGTGGTCAGGACTCAAGAATGTGACTAAATGGTTGCGTTGCCCTTTTGCAATCTTGTGTGACTCATAACATTTTTTTAAAACGTTAATACTGATGCAGTTGATTTGGCAAATTGATAAGCAATGACTTCCAGTGGCAGAATTGTGCAAAAACCATACTGAGCTGTGCTTTTTTATTAAAGGTGCAGTAAGTGATTGTCTTCAAAAATACTTTTTACTGTGCTGGTTGAAAGTCTCTTCATGTTTCAATAGTAATGAATGAAGTAAATTATCTAAATATATTTATATGTAATTTTATATTCTGGGTAAGACATAAGACAAAAAAAATGTTCACCCAATTAAATATTTTGGGGTCGACAATTTCCATAATTCTGATAAGTAGCCCAAACTGTCTGTCAACAAATATAGATTTGTACATCTGCGCAGCCACTCACGCAGATCTGGCATTTTCGCGTTCACATGCGTTCACCTGCACACGATAGAGAGCGGTAAAAACAAATGCTGCATCAAAACTTTTTAAAATCCTGAATCAATACTGGAGTTACTGGAGAAAGGATGACACCATGGCTGAAGTATTTCTGTTAGACAGGTGATGTTCTGTTTTAAAACTATTTTAGTCACGTAAAGCTGATGTAGATATTGTTGTTTTAGGAATGGGTTATAGACTCGGAAGTGTTGTTCAGCCACTGAAATATTCTGGCAAAAGATTGCTGTGACTATTTTCAGTTTCATAAGGGACCTTTTACAGTTTAACAACAAAACAGAAGTAAAAGACGCTACTCTGCCTAGCCTGCTTTACTGAGCTGAAGTTGGTTTTATTTTCACATCACTTTGGTTCATTTTTGATCAATGACAATCTGTGATGTGCTCCCTATATTATTTGCCATGCTACTCTTAATATTCGGTTTGAAATAGCATGTAAGCATGGCTTAGTAATAAGTGTAATTCCTGCACCTTGCCAGCCAAGCATTATGCATACAGTAATCACTTTAGGACAAAGTGTGCGAGAGTGGGACCAACAGTCCTTGCATGCATGAAATATTGCACAATATGACTAGTTTTGCTTGCTGAAAACTGAAAATGTGCTAGATATAATAGTTTTTCATTTGGAATTGTAGTATTATAAAGTACTACAATGTTTTCTAACTGGCGAATGACATGGTCTAGGGGGTCTTTGTCATCTTTTATGTGCATGTTCGTGATTTCAGGAGGTGTGGCTTTGGATGGCAGGGGTGGAACTGTGTTTCAAAGATATTATGCTAACCAGTTAGCATTTTGGCAGTTCACCTACTGCACCTTTAATGTATTGAATATTTAACGTATTAATGTTGATGTAGTTTTTGGTTAATAAGAAATATTAGATGTGAATTTGTGTTTGTCCTAAATATCTTTAAGTATAAATATCTAATATTACACAAGCTATTATCAACTAAGAGTTTCTAAGACCCAAAAGATGACCATTATCCTTGGTATCATTAATGTAACGTGTTTGGTTACTTGCATCATTACCAAATCATGTGATATGTTCATGCCACCATCAGCAGAACTTCATCTGGATTGTCTTTATTCAAAATCTGGACATTTGAAGACTGAAGTTTTGGTTCCCACAGACTACATTTACTGTTATTAATTTTAGCAGACTGTTTCATCCAAAGTGACAAACAAAGTCACACTGAGTCTGGTTAGAGCATATGTTTTGGAATCTAAAGCATTTTCTCGATAAGCCTGTTTCTTTCAGACATTACAGTATGTGAGCACAGCAATCATGCTTAGATCAAAGATTTCCTGAAAAACTGATCTCAGCCCACTTGAAAATCTTACTCAGGAGCAGGTTTGCTGGTGGTTACAAAGCAACCCGTCTTAAACCAAGAAGACACTAAAAAGAAATTGTACTACTGTACTGTTAACACTGTAACAGTTTTAATTCCTGTTTCAGAACAAAGCAACCAATGTACAAACACCCTTACATTGTCAAAAAGTTAAATTTAACACAGTTTGCCCCTGACACAATGTGACTTTTTTATGTAGGACAAGGAACACAAACACGAGAACAGAGAGTGTGGTAAAACAAGAGATAATTTTCTCAATCTGTGTTCTTTATAATACCAGAAAAGGAACTTTTTTTAACATATTGACTAAAAGCCACATTACTCTAAATGTGTACTGCTCTTGGAGATAGTGTTGGTCATTAAAGAAATGTGCTTATTCATGCTTTGATTCTGAAATTGAATTATGAAGTTGTGATATTACACTGATTTGATCCTGTTAAGTAAACTGAGTGCCTTCTTTGTTGTGGTATTTTGTAAATTCATAATCATAATGCATAATATTAATAATAATAATAATAATAATAATAATAATATGGTAGAAAGGCAACAGTAACTCAAATAACCACTCGTTACAACTGAGGTATGCAGAGGAGCATCTTTAAATGCACAAAACATCCAACCTTGAGATGGATGGGCTACAGCAGCAGAAGACCACACCAGGTGTCACTCCTGTCAACTAAGGACAGGAAACTGAGGCTACAATTCGCACAGGCTTACCAAATATGGACAACAGAAGATTGAAAAATGTTGCCTGGTCTGATGGGTCTCGATTTCTGCTGTGACATTCAGATGGTAGGGTCAGAATTTGGCATCAACAACATGAAAGAATGGATCCATGCTGCCTAGTATAAATTTTTCAGGATGGTGATGCTGTTATGATGTGGGGGATATTTTCTTGGTATACTTTGGTCCTATTAGTACCAATTGAACACCGTGTCAATGCCACAGCCTACCTGAGTATTGTTGCTGACCATCCCTTTATGACCACAGTGTACCCATCTTCTGATGGCTACTTCCAGCAGGATAACGCACCATCTCATAAAAAGTGAATCATCTCAGACTGGCTTCTTAAACATGACAATGAGTTCACTGTACTCAAATAGCCTCCACAGTCACCAGATCTCAATACAATAGAGCACCTTAAGGATGTGGTGGAAGAGGAGATTCGCATCATTAATGTACAGCCGACAAATCTGCAGCAACTGTATGATGCTATCATGTCAATATTAACCCAAATCTCTGAGGAGTACCTTGTGAATCTAGGCCAGATTCAGTAGTTCTAAAGCCAAATGGGGTTCCAACCCAGTACTAGCAAGGTGTATGCATGTATATATATATATATATATATATATATATATATATTTATTTATTTATAAACATCTTGTATATTATTATCATCTTACTACTAAAACAGTACATATTAATACATTTTGAATGGGTAGAAACTAAATATTAAGGGACACGATTTGCTAACAGCAATAATTTCCATTTGTTTTACTTCATAAAGGAAATTTTTATAATCTCCGTTAAATGTGGTAAATGTGTTGTCTTTTTATGCTAAATTCTTACACTTGACCAATAATGATACAATTAAACTAATAATTAAAATAATATTAAGTTCTATCAAAAACTACAAACTTTTAAAATTGTTTGTAAATAATAAAAAGTAAAAAAGGAACTTAACAACTTTACAAAGTAGTAGTGCAATATAACTAAAACTCATTATTTTATTTCTTATATTATCATGTATTGCTCTTGATACTGTAATAAATATTAATGTCGTATAAATATGAAATGTGTTTGTGTTTCAGTGTGAATCTAGTGCGAGTGATTCAAAAACTCCCTAAATAATCACTGAAGCTGTGAAATGAATCTCTGCACAAACACAGTTTCAGAGCACTTTGATTATGAGAGACTTTTTAAATGCCACATAATTCAGTACATGAGGGCACGAAAAAAAAATCTCACACATTTTAGTGATGACTGATCGAAATGACTCTGATTGGTCGATGCATTCAGAAGCACAACAGAAACTTGAGTGAACCCAGATGGCTCCATTTGAAGCATTTTTCTAAAAATATACACGCTCATCATATTTATTTATTTTATAAGAAAACTAATACTAATATTTTACATATAATGTGTCACTTAATTTTATTGTCTGATTTTATTTTTGTAAATACTTTAAAGATCACTGCGAGCAGAAGAGGAATAAAGACTTTTTTATTATTATTTATTTGTATTTTTGTTACATTTGCTGTGTTATTTAATACCTACATTGTTTTTATAGTCATTAGTTCTTGGTTGTGAAAAAGCAGAACAGTATGTTACTTGTTTGTGTATGTATATAATATTGTCTCTGCACAAAATGTTAATAAATACACAGGGTTTGGCAAAAAGATCACTGTGAGACCAAATGGTGTTTCTAACAACACTTTTCAGCAGCAACATACCCATGAAACAGTAAGGGTGATGCTGCATCACACCCTTGCATACATATTTCAGTACAATTCTGTGAACAGGAAGTGTGAGGCCCTGTTTAAAGCTTTCCAAACATGCTTTTTTAGCAGGTAAGCACCATGCAGTCGGCACATATAGCCCAGAAATCTCAGCCTTTACTAAGCCCCAGACATGTTTCACAAATGTTGCCTGAAATGATTCACATGGACAGTCTAGAACAGGGGACTTTTTTTGTGTTTTATCAAAGGAAGTGAAAATATTTGTCTGGTGCCATGGCGTGTGCCAGCCTCAGATCTAGTACAGTCATCACAGATTTA